AATGTTTGTCCCCATTCTGCAGGAATGTCGGGTAGCAATTTTGATTTTTACCTTCAGTTGTCAAACAAGTTTTCATGTCAGTCTCGGAACCACTTCCACTGATGTAACTAAAGCCCTTGGTTACCAATGCAAACTTCCCATCTTGCATCTGTGCAAGTACAATGGAAATTTGCACGTTATCTAGAACTCCAGTTACCTTAGGAGTCCCGCTATAGGTCATTTTGAGTTTACGACTGGGCCCAACTGCACCGTGGGATTATCTTAGGAGTCTGATTTTCCCCCAGTTTTCTGCGCAACTTAGTAATAACCAATTAAAAAAAAAAACGTAATAGCGCTACCAAAACATTCCCATAGCACAGTCAGTCATTGAGCCAGTCTCGTGCTCAGCTTTAAAATGGCCATAACTTATCCCATTTTCCTTGGTTTCCTGTTTTTTTAGTCACCTGGCTAATTTGCACCCGTTTATCCTAATGGTTGTTTTGGTTGTTAAAAACAAGAAGCGGGGACGGGGATAAATATGGGAGTTTGTTAGAGTAGAGGGCGTGAGAGAAGGCGCAACGTATCATTTATTTTTATGATAGCTACTAGAGATATCCTGTTATAGATGACCGACATTTGTTTTCTTTTGTAGAGATGACGATCGTTACACACCGCTTTTTCATGCCGCGTTGATTGGGTGCCCTGCTACAGTTGAAACCCTTCTTCACTATGGAGCGGATATCAACTGCCTGGAAAAAAATCGAGTGCGTAGGAACCTGTGTACTTAATATGCGCATAGAATATGCCGGATATGCTAGATATCAAACATCTTGCAATTCACGGTCTACGCTTTCTACAAAAAACTTTCACGATACCGAATTAAATCCAGCTGCCATTAAACAGGGCTATAATTTCAGGTGGATTGAGAGGCAGCAAAAAATAAAGAGATCCCACAAAAGGGAATGTATTTTGGACGGAAAGCTGGCCATGCCCGTGTTGATGAGTCCAAATTAGGGAGATGGCTTCCCGGACTACTTTATCTAACCATCGACCGGTTAGCTCAGATGGTCGGGTAGCTTATCAGAGCGGAAGGTCAGGCCTCGATTAGCGACCGAACTGAATTTCGAATGAATCATTGTGTCATATGTGTCTACTGCTATTGGGCAGATCTGTGCCCTGTAAGACTGGGTATGTAAAAAAAATGTTTGCCTGTCTCAGGTACAGTATTCATAAAGCTCCCAAATACCTCTGTTGTGATTGGCCTTCCAAAACAAACCTCAGCTATTGTTTTCAGGGACAGGGACATTTTTGCTCATTCGTCTATTGTTTCGTCATGGAACCCTCTCAGGTACTGGCCTTATTGCGGTGCTGGGTAGTAGCTTCTCGCAGCTCACAGACTGATCCTTAGAGCGACAAAGAGAGAACCGCCAATGCATGTTAGCATTATACCTTAAATTGTTTGTTTTTGTCTTATCTCTTTTGTTAACGTGATCATTGCAGAAGCCTCCAGCAATACTGGCGTCCTATTTTGGAAATTTGAGCGCTCTCAGAAAGCTTATTCAGTGCGGAGCAGATATAGCACTCGTATCATCAACTGGGTTCAATTGTTTGGATGCAGCTATCAAATCTGGAAATACAGACGTATGCATGGAATTAGTGAAAAACAAAAAGTAGGAATCTTAAACATGTGTCTATAGTCCCGTAAAACAGAACCATAAGCACAAAATTTTCGTCTTTAAAGAGCACAAACAACATGAAATTTAGTTTTGTTGATGAATGATCTGCTCTTTTTAGTTTCACCAACCGGATCAAAAGATAGAGAACTATTTTATACTGGCATAGTGAGGTAGTTCCACAAAAAAATATTGCCCAAAACTAACATTTTCCAAGAACTCTAAAACAAAAGGTTTCAGGAAAGTTAATGAAACTGTAAAAGGCAGGTTTTTAGTACTGATCAATGAACTGAGTTAGTTTCAATGGACGCTCATAATTTGTTTTTTCCCAGAGGGGATGAAAGCCTACTTGAAGGAATAATCATGATTCTACTCAAAAAATCTATGTCAAAAAGCAAAACTTTCAGCCTGTTGTTTACTTCCTTAAATTTATCTCAGACAGTATCTTTGATGATTTTAAAGAGTCTTTTTGATTGTTCGTAGATGGCGGGAAATGCTAAGCAACATAAAGTTCGAGGGAGTGACTCCTATGCGAAGACTCATTGAAAAATTCCCAGAAGTGGCTAAGGTAAAAAAAAAAGAGAGAGAGATTTATTCTTCTGAAGTTTTTCTTTCTTTGGGGCTTATCTCGTTCATTGTGTTTGTGAAAAAAAGAAAATCCAAGAAATATTATTAGAAGAACTTATCTGTAGCGGGGCGAAAGGCATGAGTGGAATTATAATTATCAATCAAATCATTTGCTATTTGGCCTAGAGATATTAGTATAGAAAGAGAATTGAAACGCATTCGATGGAAGATCTTCGAACAGAGAAGAGAATTGAAACGCATTCGATATTACGCATGCTATGACTCTAAAGAAATCGTTGTCAAAACATCTGTGATGAAATGAAAGTCGCCCTCGGCTTGATCACATGAAAGCAAAATTACCAATAATTAACGCCCCCTCGAATAAATGCGGCATCCAATCGAAAAAATGATCAGAATAATTCGGCACTACTTGAGAATCTACACCATTCAGAGATTTACGATTCTATCGAACCAAAATAAGGGAGACATTTGAAATTTTTGCTTTTCACAAATGATTCACTGTAACTATTGTCAGTGATTTAAGAAATATGATTTAAAAATAAACGCTCGCATCAGAAACTCTCAAAAATTTCAGTGATAAACGCCGCGGCGTTTAATCGAGTAAAAACAGTAATCGATTTAGAAAAAAAGGCTGTTTTTACCCAACTTTGCAAAGTTTTCTTTTCCTTGGTAATAATTATCGCATTTATGAACAACTGGTAATGTTTTTAACTGAGATGAAACCTATGTATATTTGAAGTAAATGGTCGGGATTTCATTTTTTTTTTTCAGGTTGTCCTGGACAAATGCATTGAACGCTCACCACATCTGGACACTGATCCAAATTACACGGTACGTTTTTACACTTTACAAGAAAGCTTACATAAATGTTCCAGCCACTGTACAGGGCAATAAAAACAGTAACCTTTCGTTTTTGACGCTACGCCAATTTACATTTTTTTTTGTCTTCAGATCACCTACGATTTCTCTTTAATTTTTCCTAAAGAAGGAGAGAATATCGATATAAACCAAGAAAGATATTGTGGCGCAAAGGTAGGAGGTTGATAAAGGCTGGTTTTCACTTGTCTAGTGACGGAGTCGGAGTCGTGAGGCTAGGTCGTCAAGAGCGCTTATGACTCAGTAAAAATAAAAAATCGGACTATCAAGTGGGATAATAAGAGCAACAGAATCAGAATCGGAAGAACCAGAACGTTTCCATTTTCTTCAATTCGGACTCCGCTTATGACACGGTCGTTTATGATCTAGTGAAAACCACATTGCAGGAGTCGGAAGCAGAAGTGGAAGAATACACCAATCATTATGCTCATTCCCGAGCTTTGTGATTGGTTTACGGTTCTTCCGCTTCCGCTTGCGACTCATTTTTCACTTGATTGAAAACGAGTCGTTGTTTTCAATGATCGTAAAGTTCCACGCTTCTGATTACGACTTCGACTGCGACTGACAATCTGCCTTAATATTTTTTCTATTGTTTGTAAGCATTCCTATCCCGTGCGAGGTCAGCTTTCATCCGTTCACAAGATAACAAATCCAGAGATTTAAAAAGGCAATTCCACTCTTGAGATATATTTGCAAAATTGCTTTTTCGAGGCCCATTTCATCAGATTCTGTGGGGTAACCTTTTTCCTAGCGAAACAAAAAGAGGACCTGATCTTAGGTTACGTGCGCACGGAAGGCGAATTCGGATCGGAGGAAAAACAATATCCCCCTTCAATCAAAAATGGATGCATATTCTTTTAACGGTCTTAAAAAGGGGCCTCAGTCACCCATACACATCACAGGGGAGACTGAAGCATGGCGTGTCGTCACGCAGTTCCAAGAGTTCTATCCAAAATGACAATCATACTAAGGAGACTTGCGGCTCAGTGCAGTCATTTTTGTTGTTTGATCGATTCGTGCAGTCGTCTATTTGACATTTACATTTTTAGCTTTTTAGCTACATGCCACCAGATTGTCGGTGAAAAGTATTTCATTTATTCATTTTTTTATTCATTCATTCATGTTTGTAGACCATGTTAGACTGGTGCCGCGAGGATCTGCTTTTTCATCCCCTGACCAGGGAAATGGTTCGAATGAAGTGGTACGTGCAAGTATGTAGGCTGGGAATCCCACTTTAATAAGACATTTCCTCAGTGTATGTGGCTCAATTTTTGCCATGCCTTCGAGGGGAACAAAATTACTGGTCTCGAAATGTCTTCATAACTGTGAAATTCTCTCTTGCCACCGAGACCGTAATGTCCTTTCTTTCCCTCCCCACTCCCCCCCCCCCCCCAAAAAAAAAACATTGTACATAGCCATTATTTCCAATTTCTCCTGGGTATTACAGTCATCGCAAGAGAAATCGAAGACACTGGTTTGCCAAATTTTTAGGGGTAAACAAGGTACATTATGGTCTCGGTGAGAAGAGTGAAGTATGAATTTTGCGCAGTTGTTAAAATGAAATAACGGTATCAACAATAACCATTATGTAGCTCGTGCCTTTCTCAAGAATTGCACCTTCGACGTTTTTAAATCTGAAAAACCAGATTAGACAAATAAGGCTATAACCACTCTATACCGGGATAGCTTTTTGTGCCGACACCAAAAGCTTTTCAAGTAACTTATTGCGCTTGGATAATGTCACAAATAAAAAATATATATATAAAATAATACTAATAAATAATATCTAAATATTTCATACAGTTTAACTTATTAGGAAGTAATAAATGGTATATTTTTCTTAGGCGTCATATTGGTCTGACAGTGTTTTTCTTTGGTGCTCTGTTGTATGGTATTTTCTTGGGATTGTTTTCCCACTATTTATACTGCGTTCACAGTAAAACAAACAGCTCCTTTGCTAACCAGCACACACAGAGCTATGATCCACAAAAGGTACGTAATGCACACATATTTCGTTGGACACCTTATGAAGTTTACACAACGTAGTATTCTTTATTGCTTCCTCATTATCTGTTCCAGGCTCTCGGACAGTAGGAATGACGCGAAAATGAAAGGCGCGCGAAAATATGAGTGCGAGATCTGGGAAAAGGCGGCTGTGGTAGGAAAAAGGAAGAGAGCTACAATAGACCCTATTCTCGATACCCGCCATCTTTGCACGCGCTTAAGGACTGATGGGATAAAAGCATGGATAATAGAAAGACTTTCTATCATCCATGACGAAAGCAATGTCACGTGGTATTTAAGGGGGCAAACAAAAGAGAAAATTTGCCACTGCGAGAAGCCGCACTCGACTTTATTTATTCTCTCAAAACGAAACGACGATTTAATGGTCTTGCAAAATGTAAGTTTGAGTTTCGAAAAAATTAACGTCATTATTGCTTGCTGTGAGGACATCTACGGTCGCTGCTGCATCCAAAAAAGAAAAAAATGATCACTTCCACCCATAATTTGCTATTATCGTATTTAATAGAAAAATTTGTTCATTTTCTTTTGTCAAGAATAAACAAACTCGACCTCGATTTCTTTTATTGCAAAAATTTAACACTTGTTTGCCCCCTGAGAAACCACGTGACATTGCTTTTATCCCATGAGTCCTTAAGCGTGTGCGAAGATGGTGGGTATCGTGAATAAGGTCTATTGTAACTCCTTTCATTTTTCCTTCCACAGCCTACAGGTCTATTCGCTACATTTTTGCCGGAAATTTCGTAAGAGCCTCTCATTATTCAAGATATTGTCTCCAAGTTTCATTTTCAAGTGAATTGCAGTAACTAACGGTGCATTTGAAATATGCAGAAATGTTAAGCTATTGCACCCTGATTGCAGCCTTTTTTTAAGGAAATTATTCGACACTAGATTCTCATACCAACACTGTAATTTCTCACGCGCTTGCCGTCTTGTCAAGATGGTGTTCAAAACCGTGACAAGGTCTATGGAAGCGTTTCGAAGCAAAACATGAGCGCGAAAAGCTGTTTGCGTACGTACAGAAGATGCATTGCGTTTTTCAGAACATTCTTTTTCCCCCAAAGTTGTATTATCAGGGCAGCACTAGGAATAAATTATTAGTTGTTAAGGCTCAAGTATCTGAAAATGAATTGCGTTGCTCTTTTAGAGTTGCAGAGAAGAATTGTTGTACCCTGAAGAAATTGTTATTGCACTCTTTTGTTTGGCAAATCTTGTGTTTGAAGTCTGGCAGTTGTACTATGAGGTTAGTATTAAACAAAATTACCAATTTACACTGAACCTGATTTTGCTCGAAAAATGGTGAATAAAATTCATGGACAGCGGGACATGCATATCTTTCATGTCGTTATATTTTCTTGAACGGAATCGTAAGTAGACGTCGGTTGTTCGCAACTTAAAAGTTACCCAAAAAAACCCAGTTATGGGCCAAATAATTAGTCCTTGCCGCTTGAAGAGTTGCTACGCAGTTATCCTTCTCACGCGCGGCCAGTTGTGCCCACTAAAAATATGCTATTTTTGAGACGAAAGCCCCATTCCCATGTGAAGAAGGTATTACCGTTTCTATGACAAAGCTGGGAAGTATGCTTGTCGTTATACGTTTGCCATGAGTACTGGTTCAGTCCTTAGGGATCATACCCGCGAACTTCCGCTCTGCCAAACATCATCCTATAAGATGAGCTACGGTTGACATAAGACATTGCAACTGGAGGAAACTTGTCCTTTTTAAAAGGCATGACCTTTTTTGTGCTAGAGACACCAAAATCGTTTTAAGATGACTTTAACGTCTTGTATGAAACGGTACGCATTCATAACGTCTGACGACTTTCACGTCTTCTGTTTAAAGTGCGTCGTCCAGACTCACTTAACAGATGACTTTGACTTCTCAGACGGTAAAAGGGTTTAGTATATAAAAATGGGAGGCCGTTAATTGCGACGCATTTATGACGTGCAGAATTAACAACAGGAAGCAGTCAGTGTTTTGTCTTTTTTGTTTAGGAACGACTTAAACGGCTCTCGCATTAAAAAGGCAAATTGAAATTTTTCATTTTTGTTGTTATTGTTATTGTTGTTGTTGCTATTTTCAGCGCTGGATGTACCTAGACATGATCAATTTCTTTGAAGTGTCTACCTATACAATGACGCTCATCACCATTCTCCCTCCGACCGGAGGAATTGAAAACACAACCCAGTGGGCTACAGGTGTCATTGCGTTGCTTCTGGCCTATGTAGCATTTCTTGCCCAACTACAGCTGTAAGTCTCATATCTTGACGCACTTTAGGTTTTCCACTTTTCAATTGGTTTTTTGCGTAATGATGAAGCAAAACAAGAATTTTGCACGTGCATCAAGCCTTTTTGTACATTTCTCCATTTCTTTGCCTTCACTGCACGACTACGACTTGAAAATGCCTAATTTTACGTTTTATGGCGGACATAAACAAGGGAGGACGAATTTTTCTTTCTCTTTCTAAACTTATGTGAGTCACCCCAAGAAAACATCTCCAGGGAAATTTGCCTGCATTTGACATTTTCAGCGAATTGGAATAAACGCGACAAAGTTTGAAACAAGGCGAATTCATTTTAAGAGTAACGCTTTCGCTGAAAGTGACGCTTTCGCTGCTGCACCTTTCTAAATGTACATAAACACGCAATTGTCGCCAAACGCGGAAAATATACATCTGGGCCGAGTTGTTCGAAGAATGGTCGAGATCACTGATGATAATTTATATATTCCGTATTCACAATTAACCCAGGATTAAAACTGAGCTAAGATTAATAAAACAGGAAAAAAAAAGCACTACATGCTAAAAAAGACGGGGTCTGAAGATATGCTGGAAATAGTTGGTAGCAGCAGTTAAAATTATTACTGTTTGTTTTTTTCCTCAGACTCTTTTGTTCAGGGATCTACGTTACAATGCTTATTGAAGTCTTAACATCTGTGTTTAAGGTATGCAAAGCAAAATCGTACTCATTTATATAGTGAAAAATAGCATAATGAATTTACAGACTCATTAACAAATTACCCTGGCGAAAAGTAAAAGGAAACACAATCCTAAATCTGTTTTAATTATCCGTTATCCGGAGACACCTCAAATTGGTTTAAATCTATTCGGTACTCCTTGATGTCTGAATCTTGGGTAAAACACTCACTGACTCACACTGGGATACTTCGTTCTCCAGGTGATAATGGTGTTCTCAGTACTTTTTCTTGCGTACGGACTGATTTTCTTCATTCTCTTGGGAGACGAGGTGAGTGCAATGTGAGGGCGTATATTACGCCTTTAAACCCCAGTATCCACATACAAATTCTCCACACTAAACGTCGTGCAATTAGTAACCTACCAGGCGAGAGACGGTCTAAGAAATGACTGACAAAGCGACACAACCCCCCCTGCCCTTCCCCCTTGGAAGGCCTCATTCCTAAGCGATGAAATCATTGGCAAGAAGACGATTGACTTTCGAGCCTGAACACTCCAACTGAGAATAAAATTTGTTATAATTTTATACCCTTATGCGAGACGACGAGCATCCGCTCCTCCATCCGAGCGTCACTTTCATACAGAACCCCCGGGGCTAGACTCCTTTACTCTGAACCCTATCCATTTTTACCTAAGCTAATCACTATTCTCTTGTTTGTAGCTGTCGTACCAGAACCCGTACATGTCTGTCCTAAAGGTGTTTGACATGATGGCTGGAGGAATTGAGTTTAATCATTACTTTGTCGAGAAAGAGATTCCCATGCCAGACCTCGCTCGCTTTATCTGCTTCACTTTCATCATTGTAATGTCAATCTCGCTCATGAATCTTCTGGTAAGCTCATACTAAATCAGGTTCAGGGTAAAATACCATCCTACGTTAAACTGGATGTTTTACCCGCAGGAGTTTAGTCCACGTTCGCCTAAAAACATACTCAGTCTTCGTTATACGTCAACGCTCAACGAGATCTTTTGATCAGAGTTCAAAAATCTTAGGATCTCAGAGTAGGACGACAGAGGGGTTTTGTATGGCTAGGAGAGGGATCTTGATAAGGCAAACAGGTTGCAGGTCATGGAGACAATGCTTCTCCCATATTAAAAGTATTGAGAAATGATATTTCCCGAGGCTGAAACACATAAAACTGTCAGAACTGTGCTAAAGGTATTACACCGGTGACGTCAGGGACATAACACCGTCACGTGACACTAACACGCGTTTATCTTTTTCATGGTTAGTCTGACTCTAACCTCCTTCGCAGGGTTCTCTCCCACTAGTTGAACTTTAGCTAAGTCAAATGTGCAGATAGTCTCCTAAAGACAATGGTTCCCAGTCTCCTAAGCTCGTTGCAGACCATTTTTTCTACTGTAAATCTTCCTTCCAAGCTGTCTGTCGAACTATGACGCTCTGTTTCTTAATAAATAATAAGAGTACTTTTTAGTTAATAGCCTGCGCTGGTTTTGCAAGAGGTTTACCTATATAAAGATTTTTTGCATACTAAAGTAGAAAGTAAGCAGTGTTGGGAAAAGTTTACCCAGTGTAATAACTGAAACTTATTGCTACCATTTTCTGTAGATTGGTTTAGCCGTTGGAGACATTGAAGCAGTTCAGAAGACCGCTGAACTTAAGCGCCTCAAAACTCAGGTGAAAATCAGGCCTCAGTTTAGTTTATTCATCTCAAATTAACAACAACATGCTCAAATCAAGAGTCGTCCCATGACGATTTATATACCTAAACTTCTCACTGCGTACAAAGGAGTGTGAGCTCTTTCTCTGTTGCTACGTGGAAACATCTTTCTTTAGAGATCTATCAGTGAGCAGTACAAATGTACACTTTTTTTTTTTTGAAGGTAGACGATTTTTCTTGACTTAGAGAGTAAAGTTTTTGAAGCGTCCGGTTACTATGAATGGACCTTTCTTTAAATAGTCTGTTCTTTTTGAAGATAAAATTCATTGTTTTTTGTATCATTTCAGAGGTTCGTTTTAGTAATTATAATCTCATTCCTGCAAACGGAAAGAAGTCTTTCCGCTGAAAAATCGGCTACAATTTTTTTGTGTGGCTTAAAACATATGAATGAACTTTCCAATAAATATGAGTTGTAAAAAACTTCCACAGTAGGCACAAGAAAAGAAGAGCCTCTTGCATTCATGCTGAAAAGCTTAGCATACTAGCCTTGGGTCCTTGAATATTAAAGAGTGATTTTAACGACTAATACATACATACCCTCAAACAAACTTTTCTAAGATATCTTTCTTTTATCTAGCCCTTTTATACGTCAATGTATTGTACGTTCTAAACTGTTGAACTAAATTTTCTTTTTTTTTTTTTCAACAGATAGAATCAATATATCAGTTCGAAGAAAAGTTGCCCAAGCGCTTCCTGAGAAAACTTTACGTGCCTCGCTTAGTTATTCGGCCGAACTCAGGTTCCAATACTTTCTTAAAGAAATTAACGGTAAGAGCTTCTCAATAACAGGGACCGCAGAGACCATTTTAAAGTGGTAGGGCTAAAAGATTTGACCAGTACAAAGAAATATTGAGGTCAATAATTTGCCATTTATCTTGCATTTGCGCGCCATCTTATTTACAACCTCAACAAATATAACATAAAGATCCTCACCTGTTATACCATCCAATATAGCCAATATGTTGAATAACCCTTCCGAAGATCGCTACTTTTTGAAGTTGCCCGCACTGCCGAAGTTTCTCTTGCGGTTCTCATCACGGGAAACAAACTCCTGTGCGACGTCAGCTATAGAGAGACACTGTTTGTTCTTCGCTTGTGACCATTCAACACTCGACTACTAGGTTGCTAAACATTTCGTCACCCATCCTAGATCGAAGCCACGTCTTCAGACGCCGTGCAGATGAGATTGCTTGCCAGCAGGTAGAGGGATTTACAGCAAGCAGCTAAGTTTGGACCTCCTGAATTAGACTTTTTCTTTTCTGGTTCTGGAAACTTTAACACCGCCAACAGGATTTCGTCAAAACATGATATCTTCTCCTCCTTTAACATAACTTCCAAAATACTTAGCTGCCCAGGTAGCACCCCCGTGTATCAACATCTTCGCTGTACGATGCTTCAAGAAACTTGAACTCTGCCTTATAGTCGACACCATAGCAGTTTTAACCAAGAGGGTCTCCATCTGGGCGTAGGAGCTGAAGCTTTCCTGATTAAAGCGCTGATCGATAGCACTGACGATAAGATCAATAGCCTCATAAAAGACCCTTCTAAATTGATCTTAGGTACTTTGAGGGTAGCTTGGTGCACCAGCACCAACCTTCAATCTGGACGGATGCAATCGCTTTCTTGGAAGCGTTGGTTAGACAAGCAGGCCTTCACTCTTTCGGACAACATTAGCATAGAAATGGCCAAAGCTCTGATCAATGCGCATTTTTGTGAGCGTCTGCTTTGTTAGAGTCAGTGCCAGGCCTTGTCCACTGATAGCAGCCATCTTAGTACCCTCACATCCTTAAATAGATTATCGGTGTGGGAATAAACCCGCTCTCCAAGATGCAAACCAAAGAAAAAGTCAAATCGTTCCATTTGGGCCTCACATTCTATTATCCTTGAGCGCACATCGGGTTGTAATCGTTCCAAACAAGCAAACATTTTACTTTCCATAAGAGCTGCGTAGTTCTCAAGAATTCGTCAAAGACAACTGGCTCTAACCGTCAACCTTTTTATGGCAAGTCCAATAATCTTACTGGAATTTCTTCCACGTCAACTGGAGTCCTTTTAAATAAATCCCAGCAATAAAAGTGGTCCTCCGCGGTCCCTGAATTAAGAGACCGTAAAATGTTCAAAAACCTAGCAGGAGTGTTTTATCAAGTTTTTAAAAAATATAAAAGGGACGGTCAAGTTCTTTACACTTTAATAATAAAACAGGGAATTTTTCTTTAATTTCTTTCCATTCTTCGGCGATAATCGCCGGGATAGCCTTCGTAGGTGGCAGGACCAGAGTTGGCTATTGCTTATTGGCCGGCGAGAAATCTCAATTTAAGTCTTGCAATTCTTCTCGCAGCTTTACAGCCTAAGGAAAAACAACGAAAGTACCCGTAGAATGAGGCTAAAGCACGCCACAAATCTGGTCAGCTACGCAAGCTATCTTTAGTGTTTTGATTATTTTTTTCTCAAAACCCTCAAAAAATTAAGACTCAACCGAGAATCGATGCCTGACCTTTGAAAAGACCTAACCAGACTTTCTGTCCAACTGAATTTATCAAAACAACTGGGGAGCTGGGGAATTGTAAATTCGTTGTACATTTGAAAGTGGACCAAAACAAACCTATAGGATTTCAGTAAAACCAATGTACGTCAGTTCTCGTTGACCGACCACCAGCGCTTTATTTAGGCTGCTGATATTATCTGTCATTGATCTGTAATTTTTACTGACTCGACTATAAGTATGACCCTAGAACAATGGACCTCTGCGCATGTGTTTCAAAAGAAACTAATTGGGAGCTATAACATGAATTAAATTTGTGTTTTAGTGGTATTTAGGTATGGTAGATTATGCACCATGGCGGCTGACAGAATCCAGTCAGTCTGACAATGAAGACAAGATGGCTGTCCTCCAGGAACAACTGAAAGATCATAAAGACTGGTAAACAGAAAGTTTGAAATTGTAATACAATGTGAGGTAGCGGGAAGGCTAGGTGTTTAGACGACAGATTTCAGCTAGGAGTCCGTCCTTAGTACTGCATGCCCTCTGCTATGACAACTCCTTTGCCCTGCTACCACGCACATTTTGTTGCTGTTGATCTTTTTCCCTTCCAGTTGTGACTCTTGTGGTTTTTTAATCATTGTAATAGCGCTTTAAAAAACGTAGAAATGCAGAATAATAACAGCTGACGCAACGTTAACTTAAGCTTTACTAAACAACTTCAGAATAGACCTTGCCACGGCGCCATTTTGACGAGCAGGCACGCAAATCTTGTGGCGGTTACCAAGCTTCATACAAATCTCTTAAAATTTCGGTCACGCGCTCCATTCTACTAGCAATTCTCAACGTCTTCTTTGACTTCATCTCACTTGGAAATTTTAGCTGTGTGGTAAAAATTATCCCGTCCTTCATCAAATAAGTCAGTTTTGGTGCAATAGCACGTGGACCCTACGATGCGTGCAAAACATAACAAAGTTAGCCAAGTTAGTCATAGGACGAGTGGGCGAGGCATCCAATCAGTAACTTGGCGCTTACTCTGAAGTCTTTCAATTTGACCTGTTACCATGCCTCCCGGGCAAATCACCGGGGATTTGCAGTTTTTTTCTTTCTTGGTGGTCTATTCCCCAACCCCAGACACGCAGAGGGAGACAATTCCCCACACCCGAGCTCCTGATCAACCTCATATACGGTTTTTTGGAGTACATCTTTTTGAGAGCAGTAGTAATTTCCGTACAATAGCAAAACGAGACGTTTTCAGAACTTTGATAAACGTTTTCTGGAGTTAATTGAGAGAAGGGATAGAACACTAAAAATTCTTGTATCCGTTTTCATATACAGTCTTCATTTAAGTTGTCTCATTATTAAACTATAGCCTGAAGAAATATTTCTTTGTTTTTTTTTTTCCATTCAAGTACCCACTTTGCACACATTCGTTTGAAATTTTAAAACTCACCTTCAAATAGAAACTTCAATTTTGATAGGTTATTCCTCTCCAATCACTCTCCGATAAATTCCTGGGCTTTCCCTTTAACATACGTGGTCTTGAGTTCCGCAGCTTCATACAAACCGCGCGAGAAATAACACGTACTTCGCAATCAAAGAGAAGTTATTTTTGATTTGCCCCATTACCTTCCCCCGGGACAGTACCGCTTCAAACAATTCCCCAACCCGGGGCCCGAAGAGCTGGACTTGCCCCGGGGATTGCCCGGGGTGGATAGTAGCAGGTCAAATTGAACCATGCATAATGCTCGATGTCGAGACCGCTTGGACAATAAGAAGCCTCACCTTTTCCTCAATCCGTCGAGCGAAACTCGCGAGAGAATCTAACGCGATAGCCTCACACGCGCCGACTTGGGGTTGACGCCCTTATTTCACAAAAATTTCACAATTCTCGCAGCTTCCTCGCAGCTTCAAAGTTTTTTCCGAGGGTTAATGAAACAGGCCTGCAGAGGGATGGGTGGGAATAACCTAACAGACACTTGATAGAGTACAAATGGTAAAAAAATACAAATGAATGCTGATACACTTTTCCTTGCTTATTTTCTAAGTTTTTCTTATGTTGATCTTTTGTTTTTCAGCATCACATCGTTAAGGACGGAACTGTTTTCCCAAAGGGCAATACTCGAAAGTATCTCTAGTCAGTTAGGAGCCAGGACGAATGATGGAAGAAATCTGCTGAACGACTTTTAGATCACAGACTCCTGAAAGACCAGTTTCGTTTCCAAAGATCATTAGTAGGAGTTATTTACTAGAAAGAACGCCGCATCTTCCCAGCAACCATACGTAGCCTGGGACTAGGCTCCGTAGTGGAGGAAAAAGACAAAAAACGGCCTGAAACAGTAAAATATTTAACAATTATTATTCCACTATTATGTCTTTTTACCATATATGGTCAAGAGAACAAGCAAAATACGAGGCCTTAATACACCGTAGTGTCCTGGTTTAACCGGTTTACAACAGGGCGAATACCGGCGGATGCAAAAGGAGCAACTGTGGCTGACAGAATCAGGATGTTTTGGATACTCTCATTAGAAAATAGAAGCCAAAATATCATTTTTCTTTTGCAGTAAAATAATTAACCTCTCATTCAATGGTTTGGCATATAATACGGGCGAACACTTTGCTAATTGTTAACGTCATTTTCACAGACAGAATCAGGATGTCTCTGAATACTCTTACCAAAAAATCGAAGCCAATTGCCAGATAATTTTTTTTGTAGTGGAATAATAAACCTCTTATTCGATGGTTGAGCATATAATACGAGCGGACATTTTGCTCATTGCTCGTATTTTTCCTCGCCCCTGCGGGGCTCGGAAAAATGCTACGCAACTCGCAAAATATCCGCACGTATTATATGCTAAACCATCGAATAAGGTGTATTTATTTTACGAGGGCGCGTTGGATAAGAGATGATAGATAGCCAACAAGGAGAGTAGCGCCGAGTTGGCTATAATCATCTCATATCCAACAAGCGCGAGTGGAATAAACGCCCACAAAATCTCGTTGAATCTCCCCGACTAGAACAAACCGGAAAAGACAAGGGACTTCCGCTATTCACATGTCACACGTCTATCAAAACTGTCAACGCGCGAACGGACTCGCCTGGACTGCATGAATGAAAAATCAAAGCATTGTAGCGATGAAAGTTTTTCAAAAACTCATCGGAATTCTAGGATTTTACACAGCAGAACAGCTATAAAACCTGGCAGATAATGTGAAGGAAAAGAATTTTTAAGTGACAGCCGTCGAAATTACTGTGGATTTGGATTTTTGTTGCAGTTATAAAAGTAATCATAACTATAACAAAATTCTTAAATCTGATAGGCTATCAACTGCCCCAGATTTCAGCCTTAATAGGACAGTACGCGTCTTGCCTAAGTAATTGGACAGTACGCGCCATCACGCGACGCTTAAATGGCTTTTTTTTTCACTGGTAGCAAAAAAACCTCGGAATTTCTTGTGTTTTGATTTAAAAAAAAGAGCCTAATAAATCACAAATTTTGTTAAAGTTATGATTAATTGGTAACAGAACTTCGTGTTGTCCAATTCGGTCGTAATCATACTCGTGATTAAACAAATCGTTAAAGGGACTGGTTCACGATAATGCGCATGTGTGAGTTCTGACAGTAGCTGATTGTTTTTCAACCAATCGGAAGCGAGTTTAATAGATGCACGCAAGTAAAACTACAAAATTCAAATTAATTGTTCGCGACGCGAGAGTATTTCCGGGCATTTGGTTTGATTTTATTTATCCCCATAATTCAAGTTTATTCTTTGCTACTCCTCAGATATATGGTGCAGCCGATAAGAATAAGATTTACAGCCCTGTCCTGCTTTGAAACAAACATTTACCAACGTGTATATTTTTACGAGGTCGTACCCACGCTAACAAAGCAGTCACCGATCGGCAAACAAAATTTGTAAACAAACATCTTATTACTGTTCTCTCAGTTTGCCTTGTATAAACCCAGAAATACCTACAAATAGCGCCTGACCGGTGACAAAAACACACAACGTATGAGTATAAAGATTATCCTTAACTGAGCATTAATTTCAATTGCTTATCAGCAAATGAACAAATTCATTCGCGTTGCATCGGGTCAGTGTTTCGCAAAACAAATGTTATCGAGTAGCACACATAAAGAAACTAGATTATGAAGAGAATATTCAGGCAATAATTTATTTTAAAAACATCAATTCTTAAACATATACGATCGTAAAGCAAAGATACAAGGAACATTTCAAGTGTACCAGATCGGTGAAGATCGCGCGGCCTGTTGCGGTATAGCTACAGGTCGGAGTCAAAAATCGAATCAAAGTTGTTCCAAGTGTCGTGTATTCTTTTCGTATGCCACACACTACTCCTAGAACCATACCAGATCCATAGGCTAAGCTTCTCTATCTCCAGAGCCTCTTGAGAACGTCCTGTTGCCGGACGGCCACGATGCTCTTCTGAACCTCCGTGATAAAAACATTATTTTTTGCGTCTTCTTAAAACGTAACCAGTCAAACGACACAACCACACGTTAATCACCACTACCGAAGTATAACTAGACCAGCCAAAGCGACGGATGTCCGAATAAAACGAAGGATTTTCAATGATTGTACCGGTAATGGCGATTTCGAATTTAGTGTTGGCCCAACAAATTTATTCTGAAGAGACAAACGGCGCGCATGCGCATTATCGTGAACCAGTCCCTTTAATCACTCGTATGATTACAGACCGAATTGGACTCCACTCAGGCCTGTTACCATTACTAAGAACAACGGAGAAAAACTATTACCTCGGTCGCTTGTTATGAAGTTGTTTGAAGCCACAAGCTGGTTTTGCTGAACGAGAAAAGAAGCTATACTGCCGCCTCGATTGCTCTAGTGAATGGCTGCATAGCCTGTATTTGTAGCTGGTTACTTGTGATTTATATTCTTGATGATATGTCGGATAAACAAGCTGCAGTTATCTATCGGCGAGTGACTCGATCGGCGAATGCCGAATGGCCTCGCGATCATGAAGAAACAACACTTGTCTTCTTTCGTAGCTGGTCAAGGTATTTAAGTTCCATGTGTTTTCATGCGTTTTTCGACAAACTTTCAAACAAGCTCTTGTGGCTTTTTTGTTTTGTTTTTGTCTTTTTTCTTTCGATGAAATTGCATTTCTAGTATTCTAAGAAATGAATTAAAACAATTTGCCTCGGGCGCCGTTCTATCCTTCGCGAAAAAAAGTCTCA